TTAAACTCTCTCAAGCACAAACCAGAGGGCAAGCAAAGTCCTGCTTTTGGAGTCAAGAAACCATGGCGGTCAGAAGTTAATTACTGCTCTCCTTATCCTACCGGAGAATCAGACGTAAGCCTTGAGAGACTGAGAGAGGAACTTATTTTAGATGTTAAGAAGAGGAACAGCAGGGAAGTGGTGAGGATGAAAATGGAAAAGACGTTTGCATATAGGAGATATGAATTGGTACGTGACACCCATGATACAACAGTTCCAGGCAAGATGGCCAGCACTCTTTGAATCAAATGAGGTGTGTGATTGGAGTGGGCTAAATTATGTTGTAAATAACTGTACTCATAAGATCAAATATGTTTTTTTGTCTCTTTTTTTCTTCTTTTTCAGATAAATGCCGAATTCAAGCGGATTACCACCATGCCCCTGCAATCCAGATTTCTCTCACAGCTAGATGTGTTATCTGACAAACTTCTGAATCTATTTGGAAAGAGAGGAGGACAGATAGGCAAGCATCTACAGAGTATTTTGGCACACATGACTGAAGTAAGAATGAATTTGGAGGAAAGAAAATAGATATGATGGTGTATTTACTTTTTGAGAGAACATAATTCTATCCATATGTCCCTCTGTCCTTTATTCCTTTTTTCTTAGGATGATGATGTTGATAAAGGGCGGGAATGCATTCTCAAGGGGTTGTGTGTGTGTCTCAATGTGGACCCAGCAAATCTAGTGAGAGAGTTTGTGGTGAGAATAAATCATTTTTTATCTTTTGGGGGAGAGAAGACTTTACTTTTTAATTCATTCATGCTTTAGATTTTATTACTATCCATTTCTTGATTTACAAGACCAGTAGGATACAGTTTTATATGAGATGGGGAATGCAATATTTTAAAGTTATTTTTTTTTGCACAGGTCACTATGTTTAACATATACTTTAACTTTTTGTATAGTTTGTCATTTATAGACAAAACTATTTATTTATAGAGAAAATAATGCTCAGATTAACTAGTGATAAATGTTATTTGCATTTCCACAAAGTGATATTACATTTGTTGGACATACAGATGTTTAGTTTAGACATTTAAATACATCAGTATTCACTGACAACACATTAGTGCAACAACATGGTCGTACCTACACCTGTAGTACTGCATGACAAGCCTCTGAATTTTCCACAACACATTTCTGCCAGTTTCACAATGAAACCCTGTTAAGAAATTAAGAGGTTCCATCCACTGATAAGTTGTAATGCTTTTTTTTTTTTTGAAACACAGGATATGTTTGTATTGACAACAAAATGCTGGTGGCAAGGAGCAGATCACACAACAAAGAATTTACTTAGCACAAGAATTTAGAAATTGGTGTATAATATTTCCAGTCTATGTATGTATTGGATTTGATCTATTTTGCATTGTGCAGGCAGAAGATGAAGTTGTCATTCAAGCATCCATTGAGGAGACCACAGTGGGAATATATGTGGTCAAACACAATGTCAGCAGTACACCAGAGGACATCGGGCTTTTCTACATGATTTGGACAACATTGCTTCAGCTGTTGCCATGTTGTTTGGCCTAATGTACACTCACCTAAAGGATTATTAGGAACACCATACTAATACGGTGTTTGACCCCCTTTCGCCTTCAGAACTGCTTTAATTCTACGTGGCATTGATTCAACAAGGTGCTGAAAGCATTCTTAGAAATGTTGGCCCATATTGATAGGATAGCATCTTGCAGTTGATGGAGATTTGTGGGATGCACATCCAGGGCACGAAGCTCCCGT